TGACCATGAATTGTATAATTGTGATTTTAATATATTTAATTAATAAAATATACTTAATTAATTAATAAATATCTGTTTTTTGTAAATTTTAAACTTAAGGTCTGAAATTTAAATTTGGGAAACTCGAGACCTCATTTGTGAACTCTTTCCAAAAATATTTTTGCCCCCCCAAAAAGAATTGGGCCTGAGGCGCAGAGACGGACCCAGCACCCGGCCATGGGGGCGGCCGCGCGTACTGGGCTCCACCGGACCGACCGGCGCAGGCAGCACCAATGGTTCGTCTTCTTCAATTTTTTTTCCCTGTTTTGAAAGTGGGCTGCAGGCTGCTCTAATAAAAATCAGTACATTTCATTCATTATTAGCCCTAATCCAATCTCCTCATTTCGCTTAATAAGGTCACTTTAACTTAAAATAAAATTCTTGTTTTTCATTTTAAAAATTCTCTTAATTTCGATCTCCATTCTCACCGTTGGTTCAATTTAAGTCACTCCCTGAACACCTGGTTATGTTGTTAATCGTACACTCTGTTAAGGTAAATATTAAATTGTCCAATTACGAGAAAAAGGGAATTTTGTGTTCTGTTTTGTTAATAATTTTCTACGGCTTAGTGCTTGCGTTAGATTAGATCTCGAAACATTTCATGCCCGTATATTGAAGTCTTTGAATTACGAAAATGGGTTCATTGGTGACCGTTTGGTTTCTGTGTATACAAAACTGGGGTTCTTTGAGTGTGCATGCAATTTGTTTGATGAAATGCCAAAGAAGGATTTGGTTTCCTGGAATTCTTTGATTTCTGGTTTTTCGCGGAAAGGAGAATTGAATTATTGCTTAAATTCATTCCATAGGATGAGATTTGAAATGGGTTTGGAACCAAATGAAGTGAGTTTGATTTGTATTATTTCAGCTTGTACTGAAAGGGCTGCATTTTGTGAAGGGAATTATATTCACGGATTAGCGATCAAAACAGGTTTTATAATTGAAATTAAGGTAGTTAATTCACTCATCAATATGTATTGGAAGTTGGGTTATCTAGACATGGCGAGGCGATTATTTGATGCCGTGCCAAAGACAAATCTAGTTTCCTGGAACTCAATTATAATGATTTTAGTTCAACATGGCGTGTTCAATGAAGCATTGGAAGTTTTTAAAGCAATGAGACGGATTGATGATAAGCCAGACCAGGCTACTATGATGAGTTTGCTTCAAGGTTGTGGGATTATCGGTGTCCCAAAGTTAGCTGAAGTAATCCACGGGTATATCCTGAGTGCTGGTCTTGATGAGAATATTACCATCGCTACCTCTGTCTTGAGTGTTTATGCCAAGTCAGGGAGATTGGATGCTTCGTGTGAGTAGTCAACTTTCTTGAATGTTCCATCTTCATGGATTTCACGGACTTGGACAGCTGATATTAAATGTTATGTTTAATAAAATGTGGTCGACGTGGTGTGCACCAAAAGATTCATTTGAAAAGCAAAGTCTAGATTTAATAGCTTATGGTTGAGATTATGCTGCTCTTGATTAAGATCATGGAACCGGGGCCAATATTGCTTGTAATGAAATGGAATTTAATGTAAGGTGTTTGTCTTTGTTGGCTGATAAGCTCAGGCCCTCAGCAAGGTCACAATTCACAAAGCAGCCTTCTTTTTCTTAATTGTATTTTGAGTCCTCCAAACCAAATCCTGAAGTCTTTTGGATTTTGATTTTAGCATATAAAATTCGATTCACTTCCTGTGGGATAAGAAATGAAGATTGTGATATAGTTACTTTGTAACAGCTTCAAGATTCTGCAGGATATGGCTCTCCAGAACTATGTTTCCTCTGGCGATGCTCCTTCTGTCAATATCAAGTCATTGCGTTTCTCCTGTAAGGAAAATGGAAAAGCCCAGTCTAGTAGCCTACAGTCCAGGAAAGAAAACCAACAGAAGCTGATGTGGACATTGACATCAGAGAGGTTTATTTTTTGATTATGCATTTCCTGTCAGCTGGACCATGTCATCGGACTTATGGGCAGTTATGGAATGAACTTCTGGAGCATCAGCTTTTACCTAGAATGGCATGTCTTTCCCATTAAGTTTTTGTGGTTGATCTATTAATGTATGTGTTGCTTCATGCTTGAATTAAAGCATTGCTAAGCATTACTGATTTATGTGTTGCACACTTGCTGAACTTCGACGTTGACCGGTCAACGTGTCAACGTCCGCCCGGGCTCAACTTCGAGGTTGGGTCCGTCCCTGCTGAGGCGGTGGCCTCTTGGGTCTCCCCTCAGGTTCGACTCTGGATCAGGATTTTCTCGACTGGAGGAACAAGAATTGGCTGCCGACAGTGAATTCAAACACTTGGCTATTAGTGCTTGATATTTCCATCGAGTAATGTATACACCCCTCAAGAACTCCATCTAAAAACTTAGTACTCAATGGTTTGATTACTATCTTAATCAAAAGGAAAATTGTTTAGAACTGAGTAGTGAAACTCGAACGGATTGATTATCTTAGTCGAGAAGAAACCTACTCAAACTGAGTA